AGCTAGCATTCTCCACTTCTAGCTTTTTGGTAGGTTAGTAAAATAAGAGTCTCATGGACTTTCCTGCCTTGACTGGCTTTGAACCATGATCCTCAGATCTCACCTTCTAGGAACTGAGACTAATTGCTAGGATAGGCATGAGCCACTGGCACTGGACAGATCATACTTTCTTTCTATACAGGAAGAATTTTTTTAAATACTTTAAAATATTAATTTTTGCTACTACTTGATCTTCCTTCCTCAGGGACTCTGATAATTTGAATATTTTTCTTTTTTGCTTTCTCCTATTCCTTTCTGATTCCCCTATGCTTTTTGACTCATTTTTACTTTTCTAAAAAAATGTCATCTTCAATCTCTAGGTTGTTTGTTTTTTGTTTTTGTTGGTCATGGGCTTGAACTCTGGGCCTGGGTGCTGTCCCTCAGCTCTTTACCTCAAGGCTAGCACCCTACCACTTGAGCCACAGCACCACTTCCGGCTTTTTCTGTTTATGTGGTGCTGAGGAATCAAACCCAGGGCCTCATGCATGCGAGGGAAGCACTCTACCACTGAGCCACCTTCCCAGCCCCCTCCTGGTTGTTTTATATGCTTTCTCTCATTGCCTCTTATTAAATTTCCATTTGAGTCTATTCTCCCTTGAGTATCTCACAATTTATTCACTTGTATTATGATTTTGACTTTTCCTTTCATATTTTCCAGCATTCTATCAATTTCTTTTCATTTTGCTTTTTCTTCATCATTTCCACTTAGTCTAACCTGAGGTATTTTTATACCCTAAAATGTTTGTTTTGAATATATCCAATTCTATTTGCTTCTCTGCTTTAACCTTGTTATTTTCTGAAGAAAGGGAACTCAGGGTGACACATGCTCTACCACTTAACCATGCTCCAAATCTTTATTGCTCTTTTTTTTTTTTTTATCTTTTTGACATGGGGTCTTGCTTTTTGCCTGGGTAAGTCTTTCAAGCATGCCCCACAACACTTAGTGTTTTCTGTTGAGATAGGGTCATATGAGCTTTTTTGCCCTGGCTGACCTAGAACCACATCTTCCTGCTCTCTGCCCGCCATGTAGGATTAGACATGAGCTACCAAGCCCAACTAAATCTTCAATTATTTGTGGCTCTTTTTCTTGCAGGACTCTAAAGCTTTCCTTTTCACCTTTAAATGGTATATATTAGACCAGTAAACCGTGCTTGTTGGCCACAGAAATGAGAAGGATGGGCAGGATAACCTAGCTGAAATTGTTATAAATTAAAAATAAAGGTATGGAACCTTTTATGAAACAAATTTTCATAGCACCATTACAGCAGAGACAAATCTCTCTGGTTTTCAGAAATTAAAACCTTTTATTTAGTTAGGTGCCAGTGGCTCACACCTATAATCCTTGCTACTCAGGAGGCTGAGACCCGAAGATTACACAGGAAAGTCCATGAGGTTTTTATTTCCAATTAACCAGCAAAAAGCTAGAACTGGATATGTAGCTCAAGTGGTAGAGTGAAAAGGCCAAGGCAGATTTGAAGGCCCAGTACCAGCACACACACACAGACACACACACATTCTATTTAAAGTATATAAAAAGATATAGAAGATAAGCTATTTATTTAGTTTATCACAGATTAAGGAAAATGACATATATCAAAGAATCTCTAGCAATTAGCCTTTTTACCCTATATGCAAAAGTAAGTCAAATAGCTATTTCATAGGCAAGAAAAAGAAGTGTCAGAAATTGATTTCATGTCACAATAAAAGGATAATATGCTTTTGTTATTTTTATGTTAAGTAACTGGTAAAGAGAAGAAAAGTTTGGGGAATAGAAGCACAGATAGATTTAGGCTTTTGGAATAAGTCTGACACTTTATAGGATCATTAAAGTTTGTGTAAATCATGTTTTAAATATGATAATGCAGGGTACATCAAAACAATCTAACTAGGGCTGAGAAGGTGGTTCAGGGGTAGAGTGTTTGCCTGCATGAGGCCCTGGGTTCGATTCCCCAGCACCATATAAGCAGAAAAAGAAGGGGGGAAGGGGGGAGGCTGGGAAGGGTAAACAAAAGAGGAGGCTGCAATGCTTGGTAAGAAATGTACGCATTATCCTGCCCATGTAATTGTAACCCCTCTGTACAGTATGTTCACAAATAAAATTAAATTAAA